CACTTCGACTACTTGATTCAAAACTCTCCTTTCCAGAACTATTTGAGAAGCTTGTTGATTTTGAACGGGAACTTCAACAAACAACTGTTACGCCACCCCTTATGGCTACACATTATGCCGCTTTACGCGGGTACACAACTAGTATATATATATATATATATATATATATATATATATATATAAAGTATTAGAGTTGTTAATTACACATCCATAAGGCATTGCTTGCAACTGTATCAGACCACATGGTTCAAATCTGCCTCATGGATATATGGATCATATATACCGTATGGCCCTGAGAAATATTCACTACTATTAAGGTTCAACACCCTTGGGGATTCCAAAGCGGCCTGAAATTCATCATATATTTAATTAATTAATTATACAGGAGGATTCTTGTACATTTAGATCATGCAAACATGGGAATTGAATTAAATAATTTAAAGCTGGCATAGTAAGCTGAATCTAAGCTAATTATCCTGGTAGTCTATTCCAGCAATGGGTTAAGATTAGATTTAATAGCTTTAAAAGTTTGAATCACAATTTCTTATTTCAGTTTGTAATCTCACGAAAATTAGAAGGAAACAAGTGTTAAGATTAGCTTTAATAGCTTTAGGAGTTTGAATCACAATTTCTTATTTCAGTTTGTAATATGCTTTTGGTTTTCGGTTTCTCTTTGGTAAATAAATATCCTTCACCAAGTTAAATTGGTGAGCTTTTTATGTCTGCTTTCATGATTACTTTATTGCATATTCTGTTTGTTCATCTTTGTCCTTGTATTTGCAATCCAAGTTTGCTCCACATTCGGTTATTGATAAAGGTCATGCATTGTATCGTTTTCACATAAAGGTTGTCAATTTATTTGTTTTGGGATTTTGTGACCCTCTAAATCCCAACACATAGGAGCATTTGGTCCGTAGAAAATAAACTTGGTGGAATTGGAACCCATCAAAAGAACTTAATGAAATTTGACCACGCGTTTGGATGATAAGAACTGGAATCTGCATGTTTGGTTGACAGAACCAAAATGTATCTTCGAAACTGAAATGAAATAATAATGAATGACCAAACTACCTCTTTATTACATCTTCATAGTTTCTTCCTTAAATTATGAATACAACATAATGATAATATTAATTGATGGTGGTGGAGGTGGCAGCTGTGACGATGACGATAGTGGTGTGGTGGTGTTGGCGATGGGTTGAGTGGTGGATGACAGTTGTGACGACTATAGTGGCAAGGTGGTGGCGGTGGCATTTTCTGTGGGTGGGATGGGTGGCGGTTGTGACAACAATAGTGGTGAGCGCGGTGTTTTTTTTGGGGGGCGGGGGGAGTGGCGGTTGTGATGACGACAATAGTTCCACGGTGATAGTGACGACAGTTTGTGGGGGGTGGGGGGTGATTGTGACGACGATGATGGTGGCAGCGGTGATGGTGGTGAGCTAGGGTGAGGTGGTGGTGTTTTATTAAATTGGATGCAAATGTTGTTTTTGTTTTTCTAAAACCAAGTTATGAAATCAATTACATTTGCAAAGTAATAAATTCAATTCCTTTATCGAAGGAATGATCAAAATCCCTCGACCACAAAATTCAAAGAAATTGAGACCAATTACCTTGACATCTCATGGATTACATGAATCAAAGAGAGATAGTACCTAAAACTTGAAGAATATAATCCATGATTTTGAAAAAAGCAGATTGGATGATGGCGTGTATGTGTGTATGCATGTATATATATATATATAGAGAGAGAGAGAGAGAGAGAGAGAGAGAGAGGGTTGGTTATTATACAACCCTTGATATTTGTGCAACCAATACAACTTAATCTCAATCGTCTATTTCATTTGATTAATATGTGATTTCATAGAAGTTTTGATTGTTTATTAATATAAAGTATTGATCATAATTAATAAACCATATTCATCTTCCATAAATATTCAAATCATAATAAATGAACTCTCATCATTTTCATAAATATCTCAATTTATGGGGTTGCATTGGTTGTACAAATGCGATGGATTGTATTTGAAACGAACTATATATATATATATATATTTATATAATCGATCCTGAAAGCTTATGGTAAGAGCCTTTAGGAACACAATTGGCTTTCACAAACTACATATTAAGGAAACTAATCATTGATCACGTATTAATTGTATTTCCTTTTTCTCCTTTAAGTTATATTTAGATAGTTATTGTGATTGATATTATTTATCATAGAATTAGCCGTAGATCTCTCCTTACCATTGTATGTATATTGTAAATGGCTATTTATAGTCTTTGTATTATGTCTAAAAATGCATGAACTTTTCTATTCAAATCAGGCTCTTATATGGTATCAGAGCCTCCATCTCAAACAAGAATTGATCCTACTGCACCTCCTTTCTTCCATGGCACCAAACACAGTTATTCAACTCACTACCTCCACCCACTTTAACGTCACCCATACTAACGACAATTTTCCGGTATGGCGTAAGCACGTCTACTCAACCCTTATTGGCCTTGATCTTGTTCACTTCATCACCGGAACCAAGCCGGCTCCGGCGGAGTTCCTAGACGCCGAAGCCACTAAACCAAACCCGGATCACTATCCATGGTTCCGACATGATCAAATCATTCTGGCGGGTCTTTTAGGCAGCTGCTCACCCACCATCCAACCGATGATTGCATCGGTCGATACCGCTCAGGAAGCCTGGGAACGATTGGTAACTAGCTATGCGAACTCATCTCGGTCTCACGTTATATCGCTAAAATCCAAACTTGCATCCAACCCCAAAGGCACTCACACCGTCACGGAATACTTACGGGATATGAAATCAATCGCCGATGAACTAGCACTTGTCCAAAACCCTGTGAAAGACGAGGATCTCATGGTCCACATTCTCTGTCAATTAGGCAATGACTTCAAAAATGTTGTCCAATCACTTCGACTACTTGATTCAAAACTCTCCTTTCCAGAACTATTTGAGAAGCTTGTTGATTTTGAACGGGAACTTCAACAAACAACTGTTACGCCACCCCTCATGGCTACAACCAACTTCACCCAAAAACACTCAAGGACTAATGCAAGATCAACACCCGATCGACGCAACATGCAAAACAATTTCAACAGCGGACCATCACGCAATCAATGGTCTAATGGATCCAACTTCAATAATGGTAACCGTGACAACCGTATCACTATCTACTGTCAATATTGTAACTTTGCAGGGCATGAAGCAAAGGAGTGTCGAAAACTTGCCCGGTTTCTCCGTGAAAATCATGTTACCACAGGCAATTCTATGACCCAAAGCAAGGCTTCACCAATTGCTAATGTCACAACATCCTCCTATATGTTTGATACGGGAGCTTCTGATCATGTCGATCCGGATCGTGGACACTTTCACTTCATCTCCGAGTATGGCGGACCAGATGAAATTGTTCTTGGCAATGGTAACATCCTCTCTATAACTCATATTGGTCAAACACACTTCCCTACGTCCAATGGCTTTCTTACCCTCAAAAACGTTTTGTGTGTTCCTCAATTCAAAAATAAGCTTATTTCTGTTGCAAAATTGTGTAAGACTAACCAAGTCTCTGTGGAATTTTTTCCCACTAATTTCTTTGTCAAGAATCTTCGAACGGGGGCAAGACTCATGCGGGGAGAGAATTACCTTGATGTTTACTACGCCAACCTTCCATCTCAACCTCAAATAAATGTGGTCTCCACCACATCGCTCCTTGATTGGCATCACAAACTCGGGCATCCTTCTATTCGGATTCTCAAGCAAATCGCCAAATGTTTAGGCTTACGTTTCAATCTACTCAATTTTCATTGCAATTCGTGTTCCATCAATAAAAGTCACAAAGATTCCTTTGGCATGAACTCCTTTACTACTACAAAACCCTTAC